CTATAAAATATACGTGAAAAATATTGTAGTGATTGAGTGAAATATTTATACATTCTATAAGTTTATTGCTATAAATATACTATAAATTATTTTAATTAATTAATTAATTACATACTGTATCTAATAATGCTTAATTTTATTTTGAAAACATTTAATTAAACTAGATAATTAAATTAAAGATTAATATTAGATTATGATTTAGAATTTAGTAGCATCATATTGAATTACTGTATTACAAAATTCTGGAGTTTTTATATTAATTTTTAATAATAATATAAGAGTTATGGTATAATGTAAGATATTAATTAAACATATAGGAATTACGTAATTTAGCCCGTTGAATTGCTAATAATAATCATTAATACATCCCAATTTGTAGATCAAAACTATTAAAGTAAAAATATATGAAGTTAATCACAAATTTTCTCAATACGTCCTATTAATATTGAAAAATGATAGACTCTGGACAGTTGAGTATTCAATGGAAAGATCGGGATTCCTATAGGGGCTGAGATTATCTTTATCTTGTCTTAACATTTCTTCCATACATTTATTCTTTCTGTGTTTTCGTGTTTTTTCTTTATATAATATATTTTATTTTTAATTAAATAATAAATTATTTAAATCACAAATATGTTTGTAAATTATTTATTAAAGTAATTTAGTTTTTTGGTTGAGGATTTATTTGAGAATCCACAAATTCTAAATCACTGATAATTTAACGTTATCGATAAATTCTAACTTACCGGTATATAATAATTTCGTAACTTATTTTTAGACACTTGTAAATTAAAGATTAAAATTGCTTAACTTTATTTAAATTTAATTTCTAAACAGATGGCCAATATTGAGGAAGCAAGAGAACGAAATATTCGCTTTTAATATAATCGGTCAAAATAATATCATCACTATTCGTAAAACTTTTGGTAAATTATTTAATTTTTACACGAGAGAGAGAGAGAGAGAGAAAATTTATTGTAATTTTCTTATAATCTAATTAATTATTTCTTTTATTTAAAGATAAGCCGCGGTTAGGGATCCTTAATACGAATGGAGAGTGTTATGGATTCATATTTGTTGACTATTTATGGTCTTTGAGACAACTCAGAGATACAATTGATGATCAGCTCAAAGAGATAGGTTTAAAGAATAAGTTAATAGAGTATACATTCATTGAGAGAAATGGATGGCCAGTGGCTACTAACCAGGAGCCCAAGCTATCAGTTTGGGATATTATAGTTAATCAAAACATATACATCAGAAGCGGTTCCTTAAAACTTTCAAATATAGTCTCAAATGGAGACATGAATAGACCCATTGATGATATGCCACAATCAAAGCTTATGGCAATCAATGGCAGTAAACCACAGGCCAATGAAGACCCACAACAAGTTAGTTATTATACTACCGGTATGAATACATTCAAATCCGTGGATTTGGTACAAACCGACTCAATCGGAGTTATTTCTCCCGATAAGAACTCCAAAAACAAATCATTTAAAAAGGGTTTTAATGTTAGGTATAATTGGAAACTTTTTATATTATTCTAATTTTAATCTTTCAAATTAATTATTCATTTGCTTTAATATATCATTTATTGATAGTATCAGACAAACACAGACACAAACTCTAGTGAAAAGTAAAGTGGTTCGGATTAAATCAAAGGATTTACTAACACCTAGCAAGGGATGGGTTATGTTATCCTATTGTCGACAAGAAGCGGCTCAACACGCAATTGATTTAAAACAAAAATTGAGACAATTGGGATTCAGTGTATACTTGGTACTACTTTTTATTTCATTGTATAAACTTACCATAAGTTTCCATTTGATCACATGGTTTTATTAACCCTTTTAATTACATTACCTATACAGTAGTTGACTAAAATTCTAATAAGTTTAAAACAATCCTATAATCCTAGTTAACTGTAATTTATTTTTAAAAATAAATTAACTCTAATTACTAATTACTATTATATACAGTATCTAATTGATGATATATCATAATTAACTTTAACTAATTAAAATTTGACTGTAATTGATGTGAAATTTTTAAAAAATGATATGAATTTGTGTACTGAATAGGATGTACACGAAATCCAAACGGGCAGTGATTGGCAGGACTCACTCAATGAAGCGGTCAGAGGATGTAAAGTGTTTGTACCACTCGTGACCCCCATGTATGGCATGACTCAGTGGACTAATAGAGAAGTTTGCAAATTATTTAGCAATCCATTATAATTGATTAATAATTGTGATAATCTTTGAACACAGATTAAATTGGCTGACATTTTAAATAAAGAAATAATTCCTATCAATTTTCTGGGTATTTGTATATTTGATATTTGATAATAATCCTATTGTGGGATAAACTCTAATATAATAAAATATTTAAATTTTGATTAGACACCTGGCCACCGGATTGTTTAGCCATACAGTTCGCAACAACTCAGTTAGTATCCAATTGATTGGATTCTTTACAGAAATGAATAATCAATTTGATATCACTTGAACTCTAGGTATATTCCATGTCGACCCATAGGTACTGAACATACCGGTATGAATTTGATTTGATTTGAAAAAGTTTTACAATTATTGAATGAATCGGTTTATATGGACAGAGGGTCCAACTGAGAAGATTGATTTGGTGAAGTCGTGGCACGAAAAGCATAGGGAGTGGGTTTCACAACTCATATCAGAACAGATTGAGAAGAAGAAATTGTTTCATTCCGAACAAATCAAAGCACTTCCGGCACCACAAAGAGCACTGGAAATGATTGACGGACCCAAGGAGTCAGACAAGGATCAAGATAAGCCATTGATTGTAATCGTCGCACATCCCCAACAAAGCACTGTCGTCTCTCAGATTAAATCATATTTTTCTGATGAATACAACGTCTGGTGCTCTACTGATCTCCCCGATGGAAGTCTTATTGATGAAGATTTGACTAACAATTCTCCGCCTTTTACTCCAAATCATTTGGCGACCATTGATGAGGGATCGGAGACTGATGGCAATGTCTTCACTGATGGCAATGAGTACAAAGATCTTCAAAGTCTCGCTCGAAATATCATAGAAACGAAGAGAAATAACAAACAGCGCCCGAAATCCCTGCCCCCCAATGCGGACCTTACTATCGAACCCAAGAAACCATTAACTCGAATGACATCCCAATCCAGTGAAACGAATCATTTATCTTCACTAACACCTGAAAAAGTGGATCGAATGAAGACATTTCAGGAACAGATCAACTCTGCCGAAGTAGTCATCATAATCTGCTCCGAAGCCTATTATAAGTCGAGAACATCTCAACAACTGGTCTTTTATTGTGAACACCGAAAGAAAATGATTTTAATTCGTTGTGATGTGAACTCCACTTCAGTCCCCCAATGGTTCTCAAATCTGGTTAAAGAGAACGGAACTCTTGTCAGTTAACTATTATATTCTCATAATATTATGAATTTCTTTTAATCATTGTATACGACATGTACAGCACGTGAATAATCCGCGTTTCGATGAATTACTTAAATCTCGAGTCAAGAGAACACTCGACCCGTCGATCAAAGCACCAGAAGATGACTTCGAGCAGAAAATCCAATACTTGATCGGATTCATGAAGAAAAATCTTCCAGTACTTGAAACTTGTGTTTATGTAGTGGGAAGGTATTAGTACTCAATTCCCTATGATTATTCATATTCACTTGTCTTGTATTTTAGTACAAAACTACAGAACCCTCGCTCTGAAGAAATATGTCAGGCTCTGGGCGTAGAGTTGGCTAAAGTGAAGAATGTGAATGTAATGACGAGTGGTTTCTATGGGGCCGGAGATCTAGTGGCCAAGTCTTTCCATGAGTCCCGACTGAACGCCTGTCAAACACAACTCATTTGTAAAACCAATGAAAATACGCCCAACTCTTTCGAGTCATCAGTTGTACACATCGTTCCCGAAAAGGATTCAGAAGTAATCATATCATACATGATCACAACATTCACCACAAGTTCTTAACATAACATATTTTCATTGAAATATTCATGTATTAGGATTTCAGCAGTAAGTGTCGACAAAATAGTGACGGCTCTTTTGAAGCGGTTCCTTATGGACAGACTATTTTTTTGGGGCAATCCATTCGAGAGCGGGAAAGTTCAGTGGCCAGGCTGTTGGATACATGTATGATGGTTTAGTAAATAAATAATTAGTGTATATTTTAATATGATTTTACTTTCAATCATAGGTATAATAATAGAAGGGGGACCAGGTTTGTGCTCTTAGTTCAGTGGCCAGGCTGTTGGATACATGTATGATGGTTTAGTAAATAAATAATTAGTGTATATTTTAATATGATTTTACTTTCAATCATAGGTATAATAATAGAAGGGGGACCAGGTTTGTGCTCTTAGTGACAATATTTGGTAGGGAATGGTAGTGAAAGTCCATTAAAATAATCTCAATTTTTAGGCGCTGCACATGAAGCCGAAGAATTCATATGGAATGACCACTTTGTTATACCCATTATATCATCGGGAGGTGCGGCCGGTGGTCAGTATAACGTTCCCAGTAAAATATTTGACTGTCCAAACGGCGTGTCAGAGTCGGACTGGGCTATGCTGTCGGCGCCCTTAGCAACACCAGTGGATGTGGCGAAAGCTGTGGTTCGGATAGTCGTGGGCCTCAAAGAAGCACTCGCTTCCATAGCACTGAGCAGACATCAGGTGGTGATGATGAAGGCTAAGTCAAAGCTCATGAGGACGCGATCGGGAAAGAAGAAATTGGCCGAAAGGAGGAAAATGAAGATCACTTCCATCAACGCATCCAACAGTGCGCTCAACGCTGCCGACAACGATCCCAACTCTCCCGAGAAGGTGTTGCCTGTGATCGACACCATCATCGAGAACCAGACCAACAGTGAAAACAAATCGAGTAAATGGAAACGAATGCAAGACTTTATGACTTTCACGCGAAAGAAGTGCTAAATTTTTATATTATTTTTATTACCATTTGTTAAAATTTTATAAAAACAAATACTGTACTGTAAAAGGCACTTACAGTAATACTATATTAAATTAAAACTATATTTATTTTACACTACAATTAATTTTATAAAACTTAATAATAATACAGATTCAAGTCATAGAATTTTCCAAAAATGTCACATTTTTCAGATCAAAGTCATGACTAGTAGTTAGAAATCAGAGTATTTAGAGATTGAGAATAAAATCATTTCATAATAAGTACTGTATATTCGATTGAATCGATCAGTTGTTGGGAATGTATGAACCAATAAATAAATAAATATTTTGTATATAAATTCGTTCAATCAATTTTGATTCGTTTGCTATACTCGTGCTGTTGCTGTGCCCTCCACTCGGTCTTCACTTGCATCCGCTTGAGCTGTCCGTCCCATTCGAGGTCTACCAGTCCTCCGCGCTTTGCGATCTCAGACTTGACTCGTTTGGCAAAATCAACAGCACTTTCGTCCTCCTGTTAGAAATGATTGCAAGCTATAGTCAACTGATTGTCAATAAAACTCATTTAACTGACATTTCTGGTCATTGGAGGCAAATAATAGACGTGACAAACAATGGCCCAACTGGTCATCATCATCAACAAGTAATACATGTATCCGTTTTTACTACTGTTCCAAAATGGGTCACCAAATCTCGGGTCATACTATGCGAGCAATCAATTCAATTAATCATTGAATACAAGGCCGAAAGCAAGGGAAACCTACTTTGATAGCCACGGGATATATTTTGCCGCCGACTTCGAAGGAGCCCTTCTTAAACATCATGACCGCCGAGTTGTTAATACAGGTGCCCTCTGGGAAGATAAGTATCGGCAACTTATTCGGGTCCTCCACGTGCTCTCTGAGCCTTCGGGTGACGAGTTCGCGGTCTTTAATCTCAAACCTCTCGAACCAGATGTGAGACGTGGCGCGGGCTAAGGCCCTCTGAAGCACTCCTAGAAAGCCTCCCTGTCTTTGGCCAACCAATGCGTAACAGTTATCACAGGCAAGAATCGCCACATCCTTCGCACAAACGATCATCAGTTGTGACAATCAGTTAATTGCATGAATGCACTCACTATAGGACTGGTATGATTGGCAACAGTAATGCCGCCCTCTTTGGCCATATGGTGTCTGTCATGAAATGTAATGATTCCAGAGAAGGCTCGCGAAAGGATTCGGAAACACATGAGACTAACATTCCAGTAGATGTAGCGTTTAAGTCGTCCATCAGGTATACATCCCGTCACTGCTGTGCACAGAACTAACCAAAAGACCCCGATTATCGTTATTATAACACGCGTTGGCATCAAAATTATATATCTGATGAGACATCCGATGCCCCACATTATGGTTAACCGCAGAGATATGTACTGATAGTTCTTATTGGTTCGCGTCAACAGATTCCAAGACAATAGTTCTGAAGACATAGACAGACAGACAGACAGACAGACAAATAGAAATCAAAAGCCGATTCATTGGTCTATTGAGAGCATCAATACCTTCTGCAGCGAACCGTTTGGTGACCTCATCGTCAACGATGGCCTCAATGCCTATTTTGATGAAATTCATGCCATCAGACAAATGAAAGTCTCTTTTCTCGCAATCGATCTGAAGCTCCATTTCGTGCAGAGACTGGTGTTTGGAGTGGTCGTCCGTCTCGTTATTATTGCCTCCGTTCACATCACCGCCGATCACATCAACTCTTTTACCGTTAATACTATTAATGGCATTATATTTGTCGACCGCTTCAGAGCTGTCATCCGTTTCCTCACTTTTCAACTTCTTCTCCCTTTCGATACGTTTTCGGCCAAACTATAGACCGAAACAAAGTGAGACAAAAGGCAAGCAAGTGGTGAACAAGTGGTCAACGATTACCTCAAATATCGTCAAAAGTACATAAATATAGAGTTTTCGGAAACCAATGGACAGTCCGAGGGATGCGAAGACAAGAGTGACCAACAGAAAGTAACAAAACGATGGTATGATTGCCATCAGCAGACCGGCTATCGTTTCGCCCATTCCTCCCATTCTTCGCCTAATTATCACTCATTTTATNTCCGAACGAAAGGGCAGCCCTTCTGAAGCGATTCAACTCTTTATAAAAGTTTGCGGTCTTTTCGGGCAGTTTTCGGGCGTGTCTTAAGATCTTCTGAATGTCCGACTGGAGGAACGACTGCTTCAACCAAACCACACATCCCTGACTGAAGTTCTTCTTCGAACTCATTTCATTGATTTCACTCACAGTTTGGGGAATACTTAGCGATGAAAAGCCCAGATTCTTGAGGTTAGGAATCCATGCGATCGCATCGGAACCGCATTTAAACATCGATAGCATTAGATTTGATTTCTTTTTGCTGTCGGCCCACGAATACAGCATTCCGTACCAGTCGGGAGTCCCGACCTGACAGATGGCTACCATTCCCTCCACTTTGAGACTACCGTGAAGTAGAACACAGAACGATGGCTGCCGGCCCTCATCCGAGCACATGGAGGACACCATCTCTTCCATATCAATGGATCCGCATTCGGAAGCATTGCTTGGATTTGCGATCATAACGGACGCAGACTTTCTCACCTCATCCTTGGATTCTTGCAATGGAAGCACTAAATGTCTGGAGTGGACGGGAGGGCTCGACACCTCTGATATCTCCATAAACCCACAAATAGTGATGTCTTCACTGGTCTCTGCTTTAATGGTCTCGAAATCATTGACTTGAAAGTAGTTCTCAGGCGTCGGGTATAGAGCTATGGGTGACGACAACATTCCGCAGTGGAGTCGACCCTTAAAGGGCCGGTAATTAGTTTCGGCTAATTTGGTGAATAAGTTGTGAACTGATTTGTACGACAATTGGGTGCCTTCTGGGACCCACACCTGTCCTCCTGAATACATATGATTCACGAGAAATGGTTCGCAAAATGTATTCTTCGGTCCGGAATTCATTTCAATGAGTTTCGAGAAGAATGGAAGGGATGTCTGGAATGAGTTGTCATTCATTGTGGTTAAGCACACGATATGTAGTTTGGATGGGAATGGGAAGGGAAGGGGCCAACTGTGCACATCCATGTCCTCCTCTGTCGTGTCGTCCACTGCGTTGCCATCGGAGGCACTCATGAGGTGTGCATTGATGGCTGCGTTGCCATCCGTCACGAGTATCACCTGACAGGACATCTCTGAACCCCATTCATCGACCACCATATTCTTGACGCCTCTCAAGCCATTAATGAATTTGGTTTTGTCGAAGAGCTCTATGTTCTGGAGGGCACTCTTGAGCTGATCGTAATCGCGGGTGAATTTCGTCAATATCTGCCACAAACTCGAGAACACCATCAGTGATGTGAACTCGAGTTTGGCGTTTTGGGACTCGTAGTCAAGCAATGCATTCAATCCATGGATGGCTAAGTTCTTGAGTTGGCTTTGTTGTGGGGATTGTAGTAATTGGTTGTCATTGAGGTTATCATTCAAAGACACCATTCGGCACATCGACAGCGAGACATCCAAAAGGATTATTGTCGGCATCTCTTCGCCAATTGATTGCCGCTCTCAACACAATGTCAATTCACACATCCAATCAATCACTCAATCACTTCCACACCTCTTCAGCACTCAGTCTCACAACAGTTGTCATAAAAAATTGATTTAAAAAAATGACAAAAATGTGAATCAATTAATGAATGAATGAATGAATGAATGAATGAAATATAGTCTGCAATGAGAGGGCATTCAATGCATTGCATTGAGCGGTGACTTGAGTAGCAATTAGTGAACGACCCCTTTGTGTGGCTTTCATTGCAAACTCAATAACAAATTGATTGCTTCTGAAGGTTAAGGCATTACAAGAGCTGATCCGCCCATTCATTGACAATTATGGCCACCAAATGGGATTTACCTGCCGTTGAACTCAAGCCTCCCTTAAGGGTCTCGCCATTCATTAGAGTAAGTCTGCCATCGATTAGTAAATTTAATTGGAGACCAAATGAATGAACTAATGGTTTGTTTGTTGTTATCTCATGGGATCAGTTCTGCCGGTGGTCTCTACTGCTCACTGGAGTCGCTTATGGGCTGCGAAGACATCGTAATTATTACTCATCACTCACTTCATTACTTTGACGTTAACTATGATTTGAATTTGCATTTCAGATACACTTCAGCAGAAAGAGACGGAACATCGGATCCAATTGAGACAAAAGAAGATCATTTGGGACGAAGAGCAGAGAGTGGCTAAACTCAAGAGTAACAGAGGTTTGTTTGACTCACAGTTGTGTTGATTCGTGCCATTAATGCATTCATTTGTCACATCAGAGGAGATGTTGTATTTGGCGAAAGAGACCAACTCTAAGATTCCCGACAACTTCGACCAAATATACCCCAAATAGAGACAATTAGTGGTCATCGGGTGTCAACTGAATCCACATCTCAAGAGATTTAAGTGAACTCTAAATATGCTTTTAGTTGTAATAGAAAGGGAAACAATAGTTTCATTTTTGTTTGAAATTTGTTTTTAAATTAAAGTTATAATAAATAGCAAATCAATAAATAGTATTAAATTTCAATCAATTATTCATTTATTGAAAACTCAAACGTTTTTAATACAAGAAGTCGAAGAAGTGTTTAAATAATTCCTATTTTGTTGGCGACGTCGAGGGCGTCGTAATCGGGGGCCAGACGTACGTACGCCTTCTTCTGGCCGTCCGGTCGGATCAAAGTGTTCACTTTGGAGACATCGATGTCATACAACTTCTTCACAGCCATCTTGATCTGCGGTTTATTGGCCTTCAGGTTCACAATGAAGACGAGAGTGTTGTTGTCCTCAATCTTCTTCATGGCTGACTCAGTGGTCAGCGGATGCTTAATGATTGAGTACTTGTCGAGACGTGGTCTGTGAGGGACACTCTTTCGCGGGTACTTCGGATTCCGCGGCAAATGCTTCACATGTGGTCTATGGAAGTGAACGGTTGTCCGGATTTTGCGCGACTTCTTCAGGAAGTTTCCTTTCGTCACTTTCTTCGACGCATTCACTGCCTTCGCCTTTGCCTTCGCGGCCGAGGGCTGGCCTTTGGCTGATGTCTTCGGTTGTGTCACAGCCTTGGGTTTGGTCTGAGTTGTGGTCGCTTTCGGCTTATCCTTCGCTTCCTTCTTGGGCTCAGTCTTGGGGGCGGCCTTTGGCGCCGCCTTTTCAGGCGCTTTGGGAGCCGTGGTCTTAGCGGCGGTGGCCTTGGGTTGTGAGGGCTGAGCGGTGGGCGCCGCCGGAGTGGTTGTCTTCTTCTTCGGAGGCATTTTCGCCACAAATCTATTTAAACGTGTTTTCAGTGATCACTCAAAACAGGAAAAGGAAAGCAAACGATGCGGTCGTGAGAGACATCTGTTGAGGCATTCACTCAGTGCGAGACTCCAGTAGAGGTCAACGCATTTGCCTTCACTTCTCCACAATTGATGTCAACATTGGTCTGCATTTGAGTTCATCTGTTCATTTCATTCAGACATCGACTCAATTATGTGGTAATTGTCTCATAAAATGAGTGATAATTAGGCGAAGAATGGGAGGAATGGGCGAAACGATAGCCGGTCTGCTGATGGCAATCATACCATCGTTTTGTTACTTTCTGTTGGTCACTCTTGTCTTCGCATCCCTCGGACTGTCCATTGGTTTCCGAAAACTCTATATTTATGTACTTTTGACGATATTTGAGGTAATCGTTGACCACTTGTTCACCACTTGCTTGCCTTTTGTCTCACTTTGTTTCGGTCTATAGTTTGGCCGAAAACGTATCGAAAGGGAGAAGAAGTTGAAAAGTGAGGAAACGGATGACAGCTCTGAAGCGGTCGACAAATATAATGCCATTAATAGTATTAACGGTAAAAGAGTTGATGTGATCGGCGGTGATGTGAACGGAGGCAATAATAACGAGACGGACGACCACTCCAAACACCAGTCTCTGCACGAAATGGAGCTTCAGATCGATTGCGAGAAAAGAGACTTTCATTTGTCTGATGGCATGAATTTCATCAAAATAGGCATTGAGGCCATCGTTGACGATGAGGTCACCAAACGGTTCGCTGCAGAAGGTATTGATGCTCTCAATAGACCAATGAATCGGCTTTTGATTTCTATTTGTCTGTCTGTCTGTCTGTCTGTCTATGTCTTCAGAACTATTGTCTTGGAATCTGTTGACGCGAACCAATAAGAACTATCAGTACATATCTCTGCGGTTAACCATAATGTGGGGCATCGGATGTCTCATCAGATATATAATTTTGATGCCAACGCGTGTTATAATAACGATAATCGGGGTCTTTTGGTTAGTTCTGTGCACAGCAGTGACGGGATGTATACCTGATGGACGACTTAAACGCTACATCTACTGGAATGTTAGTCTCATGTGTTTCCGAATCCTTTCGCGAGCCTTCTCTGGAATCATTACATTTCATGACAGACACCATATGGCCAAAGAGGGCGGCATTACTGTTGCCAATCATACCAGTCCTATAGTGAGTGCATTCATGCAATTAACTGATTGTCACAACTGATGATCGTTTGTGCGAAGGATGTGGCGATTCTTGCCTGTGATAACTGTTACGCATTGGTTGGCCAAAGACAGGGAGGCTTTCTAGGAGTGCTTCAGAGGGCCTTAGCCCGCGCCACGTCTCACATCTGGTTCGAGAGGTTTGAGATTAAAGACCGCGAACTCGTCACCCGAAGGCTTAGAGAGCACGTGGAGGACCCGAATAAGTTGCCGATACTTATCTTCCCAGAGGGCACCTGTATTAACAACTCGGCGGTCATGATGTTTAAGAAGGGCTCCTTCGAAGTCGGCGGCAAAATATATCCCGTGGCTATCAAAGTAGGTTTCCCTTGCTTTCGGCCTTGTATTCAATGATTAATTGAATTGATTGCTCGCATAGTATGACCCGAGATTTGGTGACCCATTTTGGAACAGTAGTAAAAACGGATACATGTATTACTTGTTGATGATGATGACCAGTTGGG